TCGGTTGCTGCAGCATTTCCAACCAGTCTTGAGGGGCCGATATGAGTATGGCGTTTAGGTTCGATTGCAGGTTGTGGCAGCCCTTGAGCATCTCCCTCAGCTCTATGTGTGTCTTCCATCTGTTATATTGTTTGTTCCAGAGGTGTTTGATTTGCCACACTCCATGTTCCAGCCAGGTGATCCATCGGCTGTTCCGTGTCGTGAGTGTCCAAGGTTTATCCGCCTGGTCCTCCAACCATTGGTTGCAGAATAAGGGCTGGGGTAGGATCTTCCCTGTTTGTTGGCTCGTGCACCTTCGCCGGGAAAATCTCCCTCCATATCTTCTTGACAGGTACATCCAGTAGTCTGAGCCGTTTCTTGGCTCTTGCTGTTGTTGTTGGTTCTGCTGTTGAGGTATCCCACACCGGATTGACCAGGATTTGGCCATTAGCCAGAAAAGTCCTTGCATGTTGGGGGTTGTGCTGGCTATTTGCAATTGTCTGATCCGGTGCAGAGCAAGAGTGACCCAGGGTAAGTTCGCCTCGGTGAGCAGTTTGACCACCCACTTGGTCTGGAGTGCCTTTACTTGGGTGGCCGGGTCCAGGAGTCCCAGTCCACCTCTTCCTTTGGGCTGGATGAGTTGGATCCACGCCACCTTGGCTATATGGTTAGGTCTCGAAGGATTGCCTGTCCACAAATACGCAGTTGCTTGTTTCTTGAGGGTGCCAGCTGTATGCATCGTTGGTGTCCAGATGGAGGCTGCATACCAGAGCATGGAGAAGATTGAGGCATTCAGCACTAGCGCACTGCCGAAGACGGATGTATAAATGCTGGACCATGTGGCCAGCTTCCGTAGCATTTTAGTGAGGATTTCTGGCGCCATCGCATGATCTGATCCTGCGTTGGTGAGTTTGATGCCTAGATAGTGAAGCGGAGTCTTTGGGTCTTGCCATGCGAAACCTGCTGGCATGATTTCCGCCGGGGTTTGTAGTGTGTGTGATATCCACCAACCCATTGTTTTTTGCCAGTTAACCTTCATCTCGGAGCCCAACTGGAAGGCTTGCATGGCTTTCGTCAATGCCTGAAAAGAGCTGCTGGAAACTCTTATCAGTGTCGTGAGATCGTCTACGAAGAGAAGAGTGGTTGGCAGTCGGACTTTGTGGCTGGACGAGGCCGGTTCCGCTATCAGTCTGTCGATCGACGGGTCTTTGTGCAAGAAGGATGCCACCGCTTCCATCGTGAAAAGGAAAAGATGGTCGGCCAAGGGGTCTCCTTGTCTGACAGGAATCCGTTGACTTCAACTTGTTCGTGAGTGTCGTTGTACAGGACCTGTACCCATCTTCGAAAGTTGGGGCCGACTCCCATTTTTTCCATGCATTGCTGCTGGAAGTTCCAATTGACCTGGTCGTATGCCTTCTTGAAGTCGAAAAAGAGTATAGCGGCTCTCAGTTTCTTCTCTGTGATATAGCGAGTAGACTCCGACAAGGTTATGACATTATCGAGGATGAAGCGTCCTGAAATGAAGCCCGTTTGATCAATATGAAAACAGTGGTTGGTGATCTTGCTGAGACAGTTGGCAAGTAGCTTAGCCATCACCTTGTAGACGGTCTGTAGTGTTTTATGCCCACTGGATCGCCCTTCGTGCACAGAGAAGCATTACCACTCCTGTGCTGATGTATTTGCCAAGCCCCCTCTTATGTTCGGCTGTATGCAGGAATTGCATGTACTCGTTCTCGAAGAGCGGCCAGAAAGTCTTCCAGAATTCCTTGGATAGTCCGTCTCGGCCAGGTGTTTTGTTTGGCTGCAGCAAGTGCAGTGCTTCTCTTACTTCATCCTGGGTAATCTGATTGTCTAGGTCTTCCATCTGTTGGTGCGACACGGTCTTGTCCAGGTGGATCAGAATCTTATGCCGTGCTGTCCACACCTGTTCTGACGGGAGCTGATCTTCTCTGGAGGTGTACAGTTCTCTGTAAAAGTCTGCAGCGATCTCTAGCATTTGCTGTCCGAGGTGTGGCCCTCCGGTGTGTGCAGCCAATGGATGAGTTTGTTTCGAGAGTTGGATTTATTTTTTGAAAGAAATATTTGGTCATTTCCCCCCCTTCATCCAGCTCCTGAAAAAATAAGGTGCGAATGTATCTGGCACAGACAATGAACCAGATACATTCGCACTTTGGTGTGCCGAGCAGCAGACACACACGCACAGAGAGAGAGAGAGAGAGAGAGAGAGAGAGAGAGAGAGA